GGTAAGTTACATTATTAATATTAGATCAACAATGACATAAAAATATACTATATAGAAATTATATGACAGTATTTTCTCACATTTTCTACTCATATTTTGGCTTTTTAATTATTGGAAAGACTGTATTTAACTGAAAACTGGCATATATCTGGTGCTCAATTTTGATGCATATCCAAAATTATTTGCATTACTTTCATATACTGCTTTACAAATTTCCTATTTTAAAGCCTGTAATTTATTTCAGAATGAATAAAACAATGCATTTAAGTATTCTTATATTTTTTATTTATTAAAATACACTATGAACTTGAATTACAAAATGTTTGTAATGCCATCAATAGTTTTCATTTTTTAATAATACATGTATGTTTATAGATGGTCCAAATTATAGGTCATAAAATATATTATGACTCAGATTAGAAATTTAAAATTCAATTGTCTTAAGTATTGTTAGGTAATTCCATGACTTTATCACATGTCTCAATTAGTTACTTCCCAGATCTTTGGTTTCTAATTTTATGTCTTTTAAAAAATGTCTTTATTGAAGTAACTTTCCATTATATATATTTCAGATTTGTGTCCCTAAAAATCATCATGTGTATATGTGACATTTAATTCACACTACAAATCAAACACTGTGCTTCACCTTAAGACTGCCCTCCTTGGTCACAAACAGTATCTGAACTCTGCTGGCCCAGTTCCAATTTGCACCTCACACTGTCTTCCCTAGTAGATATTTTTGAGTGCTAGTTATTGTAGGAAAGTTTTAATAAAATTATGCAATCATATGTTGAATACCTTATGCCAAATTTCTTTCTTTAATTTTCTTTTAATTGCCAAATATGAATGTGATAGAGGCAGGAAAGATGTGTTGATATAATTTACATAATTTCAAAGCCTGTGAATTTTGGAAGGGAGCTAATTATTATAACTGACAAAATTCCAGATAATATAAAAGTGTATAAATTAATAATTTTATGGACTATATACTAGATTAATATACCAATATCATTTTTATTAAAGTTGGAAACTTAAAATGAATGCAGTTATGATTTTCAATATTTGAAAAACTATCTTTAAAAATTGTAGTCACCATGAGTATCTTGTATTAATATAAATGCATTATACATGAATTTACTACAAATTAGCCAGGTTTATGCTTGGTATTTTAACTTAAGTTTCTTAGATGGTTTGACAATTGCTAAAGAGTAAATTAATAAGCTTTTTTTCTTTGCATTTTTCATTACATTTCATGTAAGGCAGAGATAAGTACCTTACATGAAATGTAATGAAAAATATAATAATAATATTTTATGCAATTTATGAGAATGTAATGAACTATATTTTTAAATATACTTATTTCTAGCACAATATGCTTAGTTCTTTCAGCATCAACTCCTAATTATGAAGTGACATAAAATTAATTACAATACACATCATATGAAAAAGTGATTAAATGAATCTGTTTGGTTAACTTTGAGAAGAAAGGCACAAAATACACGTGAAATTATAGTAGAGATTATAGTACTTTCTAGAATATTGTTTTTCTAAACATATTTCAAAAGGGTAAAGCTTTTAGAAAGCTGTATTTAACCTTACGAGTTTGTAGAAAATACATTTTTAAAATTTTTGTTTTACTCTAGGGGATATGATTTTCTAACCCCTTTTAGATCAGAACAATCAAACTGAATTTAACATGAAATTATTGGGAAATATATTTCTTTAGGTGTGTATCAAAGAAAACTTCAGGAAGCATTTAGCCATTGAAAAATATAGTATACTTCATAGCATCATATAAACTGACAGAGAGATTGGAAACTTAATTAAATAACGTAGTGTGTGTGGATGCCACAGAATTTTCAACTAGGATAGCCACATCATGTGAGCCAAAATGAAAGATAGATATGTTTGTATTTGTCCTAAGGCCATAGAGTTAACAAAAGATGTAGTGCAGGTAAAGGTAAAGGTAAAGGCCCTCCCGTTGATCGTCGATTTGCTCGAGCGGGCCCAGTAACGTCTCCATTGGAGACTTTGTTGTTACTGTGTCTGGCATATCGAATACTCTCGGTAGCTTGCCGGGCTCTCCGAGAGGGGCGGAGGAATCGAACTCGGGAAATATCATTATTTGCTATTCTTGGAAGTTATCTTCACTTTGATTTTTGAGGTAGGGCAGCATATAAACATATGAACAAGTTAAATAATTATGTTTTGTACAGACCATTAAAAATGCAGTCCATGGTATCTTTAAGAAAAGATAACCAGTGAGCTCAACAAAGTGAAAATTTGCACATTAAGTCTTAAACCTAGACCACTGGTCCATTCTTATTCAGCTTATGTTCATAAATAATAATTACTATATAAAAGTAAGCACGAAGTTACAGGTAGAAGTAGTTCGATACTTTTTTCTCTCAGCAAATCACTTCATCATTACATAGCAATGCCAAAGAAGCCGCATGAAAATGCATTAAAGCAATCCCATCTCATCCACAACTCTCAGTCGCATCTGTTTAAAAATGTTTGTGCAAGTATTTCTAACTCTCCAGGAAAAAATTCATGATATCATACATGGGAAGAGCAATTTATAATATATCTCTTTCATCTCATGCATACACCCACACATATACAGCATTGGGGAGAAGCATCTAGGTGAGGAACTAGCACTGAGCAAGCTATGGCAGTGTAAGGGGGGGAAACTTGGACATCAGAGAAAACTTGTATTCATTCACAATAGGACAAAAATTAATGCTCTCTTAAAAGAAGAAAGAGGAAGTTTCCAAAGATTGCCACAGTGTCTATGCCATGATTAATAACATCAAAACTTTCCCAAGAATAATATTTACATCTGTGTCAGGTCTTTTGTTGATACCAACTTTCTATCATGAAGCTATTTTATTTATACTGCCTAGTCTGTCAAATTTGAGTGTTAAAACAAATCTCGGATAAACCAATATTCATGAAAGTAAAAGGCTTTGGGTCAATATTTAGATTTACTTTGATTATGTTGATTTAAAGATTTAGTTTTTCAGATGACTTCTTAAGAATAACAGGCTTATTTTGAAATAATAATTACTTTGGCCTGCCCAGAGGGTTATAATATTGCGACAAATTATTCTCAAAAAGTGAAAATGATCAACTCAAAATTTGTATCAGGATTAGAATCTTATACAAATAAATGGAGGTGCACAATTCCTAATGAATATATTTATATAAATTTTTTAAAAAATAAGTACTACCGACTACTGCAGAGATAAATCTGATTTTTCAGCAGAGTCTTGTTGGCTTTACTTTTTAAAGCAGTATTCAATAAAATATGTATCTTTCCTGGGGCTGGAGCCACAGTACAGCAGGAAGGGTGTTTGCCTTGCATCAACAAACTCGGGATTGATTGATCCTCGGCATCCTATATGGTTCCGAGGCTACCAGGAGTGATCCCTGAGTGCAAATCAGGAGTAAGCCCTGAGCACTGCTGGGTATGGCTCCCAAACAAAACAAAACAGAAAAGGATGGTTCCTACGAAAGCTTCTATAAGCATAAACATAGGTTAATGGAAGTTTAAATACATATTCAGAGAAGCAGCTCTATGGGATCACACAGATTCAGTGTAATTAGGTATTTTTCAAAGAACACTAATCATAATCAAAGTAAATGAGTTGGAGCATGTGACATTTTTCGTCAGGGATTATAAATGAAGAAATGACTATAGTGGGGGAAATGTGTAATTTTATTTGCAAAGAAAAATAATTGAGTGATTATATACTGCATTATAGTTATAAATATTTAAAATAATACAAGGTCTAAGTGTTATAAAATTTAGATTTTTCCAATATTTATCTAACTTGTCTCTTACCTATGTAATATCATGTCTATTCATTGTTTGCTTTGTTTGGGGAAGTCATACCTAGTTGTGCTTGGGATCTTATTCCTGACTCTATGCTTAGGTGTCTGTCACATTGGTACCAGAGATGTGATCCAAACCTCTAGCATACAGAACATGTGATTAACCTGCAAAATATACTCTCTGGTCCCTTGGTCTGTTTTTAACCAAGGTCCTATGTGAACAATGTGGAAAGATAATTAATTAATTAATTGGTTTGGAGGCTACACCTGGTGGTGTTTGTACCCTGCACTGTGCTAGGGGGTTTATTCAAGGTCATAACGTAAGTAGAATTGAGCCCAGGGCTCTGGCATGCAAAGTTAGCACTGTGGCACCTTCAATTATCTGGGGAAAAACTTTTTAACACACCTTATCCCAACAACTTTATTTAATAGATTAGATAATTCATACATGATTTCCCACATGTGGCTGGGTAAATATAAATCCAAATCACTGCATACTTATTATGAGTCTCCAAGTAAAGCCACTAATACTTTACTTTAGACAATGTTTCTAAATATTTGGCCATTATAACTGGACTGGAGTTTTGTGATTTCTTTTCAAGCCAAGTCATGCTAATTCTTCCACCCATTTCTGAGGATGTCACTATGAAAATCAAAACTATTCACTATCTCAACAAATATTAAGGATAGATTCTAAAGATACTTATATTTGACAAATGCACTTATTTATTATTTTACTTTTAGATCTTTGTTTTCTGGCAACTGAGACTATTTTTAGGACCTGTTCACATAACAACACTTCCAATCTCTTTTGAAACTACTTTTGTCAAAACACATGATTAATTCTTACATGGAAATCATGATAAGGTGTATGCAATGTTTCTGTTCAACACATATTTTTTTTTTAAATATTTCAACTGGTCAATTAGCCTGACCAGTCAGATGCCAGGTAAGAATATAAATATGCTTTCAGGAAGTGAGGTAGATCATAAGGCAATTTAGAAAACATTTTTCCTTCTGGACTGAAGAGATATTAGCATGTCTTGGCTTTAAATATGCAAAAGGCTGTTTCCCCACCAAACACTGCCTGAGTGCAGAATATGCCGTCTGCCTTTTTACTAATGACCACATTCCTCCATTTAGAGTTAAGAAAGTAAAGTTACCGTGTCTGAGAAACGGTAAAACTTCTCCAATGCAAAAGCTTCTGTCTGTGGGAAAGTAATGTGAATCAAGATGGATTGAGAAACCAGAGAATCAAATCATTTATGATTAACTACAAATGCACAATAGGTTTTCACTGTACATATCATTTTAACATACATATGAATCAATTAATTATTTTCTCACATATGCAAGGTATCCATCCCAAAGTATAGAATAAAAACGTGGGTTTTCCTACACTAAATCTTAATTGCACTATTTTCTCCCTGAGTAATTCAATTAGGAATTAGTAAAGAATAAGTGATATTACCTTTGCATTTCTGTATAATTCTAGAATGCTTATCCCTAAGAAAATTAATCTTCCTGTTTTTCTGAGAGCTAAAGAAAAAAGAGAAATCCAATATTTGTATCCTTCTGATACATTTGGTTAAGAATTGCTAGGTAAGGATGCTTTTAGAAAACCAGAATTGAACATCTAAAACATAGTTTATTGCTTTCTCTGTTGAAATGTATGGTAGCAATAAAAATTGTCTGAAACTAGACTTCATTTGGATGTTTTCTGAATATACTCATTTCTAGATTTTATACTTCTAAAAAGTGTAGAAAAGAGGAGAAGGTAATTAAAAGTTAAAAAAATATAAACTTCAATGAGAGGCATAAATGAGTATAACCTTATTTCTGATGATTGATATTTAAAAGGAAAAATGACCGTTATCAGTTCTAACAGGTACGGAATAAAAGAACTTCAACTCAGTGAAGGAAGTATTTTATTCTTGATAATGTTTCAGCCAGTGCCAGGTGTCATGACAGATAAAGGAAACTTGTAGGCAGTAGGGAGGGAGGAAGAAGCTAAAGGAGCTTAAGGAAGGATAAAAAGCATAAGAAAATGGAATGGAGTGGGGTGGACAGGGTGGCATAGAAGTGTTAGAGTTAATATTTTCATTCAGAGTTACATTGTATGATTTATGCCTTTATTCTACTTAAAAAATTAAGTGCAAGCACTAACTTTGTTTTTGGTTTAATGTATTACCCAATGGATCAGAAAGTTAATGTTCTTTCCATGCTACAGTGAATTTGGGTATTAGCAGATAATAATATTGATGAGTAATCAGTCAACTAGACGTGGGTGAATAAGTTAGAGCTTTAGAATATGTTTATTAGTAAAAAGGCTTAATTTTGAGATCATAGCATGCACTGTAGCACTGCCCTCCCATTGTTCATCGATTTGCTCGAGCGGGCCCAGTAATGTCTCCATTGTGAGACTTCTTATTACTGTGCTTGGCATATCGAATACGTCATAGGTAGCTTGCCAGGCTTTGCCGTGTGGGCGAGCGAGATACTCTTAGTAGCTTGCTAGGCTCTCCAAGAGGGGCAGAGGAATCGAACCTGGGTCAGCCAGGTCGACCACGCGCAAGGCAAACGCCCTACAGCTGTGCTATCACTCCATAGTACTTTAAAAATGCCTTATGGATGTTATAAATTGCAATAAGCAATTCAGAAAACATAAAATATCTTTAAAAAATCAAATCCTATAAAAATTCTTAAAAATACACACTATATGAGACTGCTATTTTTAATATTTGTGAATATTTTGGCTGAAGTATTCCAATATGTTGGAACCTGGCCACAGCTTCTGTTGTATAAACTTTTCTGTATTTTTGGTTTCTTAAGAGTACATTTATTTTTAAAAAAGCAATGGCACATTTACACTTAAATGACTAAATTAATTCTAGAAAGTGGAAATGCCCTTATAAAAATAGTAAAGATAAACAACATTGAATCTTCATAAAGAGGAATAACCTTATTCTGTATATTCAAATCCAATTAGGAGGGTAATTCCACAACTTGCAATGTTCTCCCTATGATGTTATCAACAAAATTTTATCCAGGGACCATCTATCAGGCGAAAATGTGGCAAAAATATCCTATCACTGTGTTGCTCCTGGGGACTCAGAAGACATACTGAACATAAACGTATGTCCCCAAAGAGACCACACTGTCTTTCTTCCATGAATACTAATGCATTTCTCCATAGTATTAAGGAATATGTAATATTTGATGGAAACAAACTTGCATCCCCAAAAGGCGTAACTTTAAGAGTTACATCTGATGATTGATGTCAGTTAAAATAATCAAAACATTGTGAAACTGCAAGTAAGAAGGGATATATTTTGCTCATTGCAGCAAAGTCAATGACATCCTTCCAGGAAGCAATAGGAAAGAAGTTGATAAAGCTCTGGTATCACCACCTACAATGTGCAAAGTTAAATAGATGGGTGCTATCACTTTCATCCTCAAACCGTTTTTGGCAATTGTAGCTTCAATCAGACAAAAGTCAAAGGAATATTTTATCATGTACTATCCCGTCTCCACTTTAACCCTGTATACTCTATGAAATACAGCAAATTCATGTCCCCGTGAAAATTTGGCATCCCAGTGAAACAAGTGCATTTAATTACTTACTTTATTCTTTCTCTTTCGTCGAAATCTCAGAAGTTCTTTATGTTGTCTTGAAACAAAATTGACAGCTGCATATTCCAGAAGTGCTGAAAACACGAAAAGGAGGCATACTGCCATCCAAATGTCAATAGCTTTGACATAAGAAACCTAGAGGAGAGACAGAAAGAGACAGGGAACAATCTGACTTGTAGCATTACTTTCACTAGAAATAAAACAGAACATCTGATTATAAATTACACCATTATACACCACATTGCGAAAGAAAAAGGACTGACACCACATTTTTCTTACTTGTAACTTCTCAGAAATTCATTTTACAAATTTTATAAACTAGAAATTAAAACCTGTGTGTTTTTGCTCTTTTTCTCCAATGGGGCAGTAACCCAGACATAGAAGAAATATTGAGATTAAATGCAATTTTATCTTCAATATAATGTACTGCTTGAACAAGTATAAAGTAACATTGAAATATTGATAATCTTATTGACTTTTGGCTTCATTTTTTATTGAACTTTTTTTTGTTTTCAAGTAAGTCTAATCTTATAGATACTTTGTAAGGGCAGTTAAAAGAACTCCCAAGTTTCCCAGCTATTGCACTTATATGTGTTTCTTTCCCTATCATTATTTCTTATGTTTGGTCTCTCCTCCACCCATCTCTATATGTTCTTCTCCCTGAATTTAATTTTTAGACATAATAGTCCACTTCAAAATACTTCAAAATACTTATGTATGATTTCTTTAAAATATACTTAAAAGATTGTCTTCTCTATGCTGGTATATCTAATAAAATCAGGAAACTAACAGAGAAAATATGATCTAATCCTCACACCTCCATTCCCATCGCATAAAATTTCTTAATCAAGTTCTGTTTTCAATCCAGACTTGATATTTAGCCAGGTGTTGACTTTGTCATCAGATCTATTCATTTTGGCTATGAAATGGTTGCTTGGCCTGTCCTCACCTTTTGTGACCTTGATAATTTGAATGAGCACAGATACATTATGTTCTATTATTTTAGACTCTGATTATGAGAATTTTTTTAAAAAAATGAATCACTATGAAATACACAGTTACAAAGCTGTTCATGACAGAGTTTCAGTCATACAATGTTCCAACACCCATCTCTTCACCAGTGTACATTTTCTATCACCAATGTCCCCAGTATCCCTCCTGCCACTCACCTCCCCACTCCACCCCCACCCCTACCTGTCTCCACAGCAGGCACTTTCCTTCCTATGATTCTGAGTTTTTCAGAAGAACAGTGATACCTTCTTTATCAGTGTTTCCTCTAGGAGGCAACCCAATGTTGATCATTTGATTAAAATTGTATTCCCTAGACCTCTGTACAATAAAGTTATTGCTTTTCCCTTATGTGGGGATGTTCTAGAACTACATAAGTATCTATTTACTCTCAATTTTCCCCTCTGGACATTGATGGTTCTTGCTTGAGTCATTATTACTATGATGATTCCTATATGGTAATTTTTCTAATTCCCTCATTCTACCTTAATTTGTTAATATTCTAAAATAAGGAAATTTTAATGTCTTATATTTATTTCGTTGCTTATTTATATTAATGTTTCAGTCATACAATGAATAAAAGTTTACATTAATTGATAATATTTATCATGATTATTTCTTTTGATGCACATACTATTTATTTTGTGATGGTAAAATCCCTACTTCTTGATGGTTCACCACCTCATTGTGGTGGGGAGTGGCAATAGTGCCAACCAACAAAGAGTGAACCAACAGGTGCTGCCCAGAGATGCAGGCAGGTGCATGTTTGTCAGCATGCAGATTCCTAGGGAAAGAATCCAGAGTTCCCACCTCCATCGACAATTGAGGATCAGGGATGCTGCCTCGTTTGCCAAGGTGTCGAAAATCAGATGGGCTGGACATGTAATTCGATTTGTGGGATTTGGAGATGACCACTGGACTAGAGTCATTACCAACTGGATTCCAGGAGACGTCAAAAAAACGCCTGGCCGCCCACCTATGAGATGGTTGGACTTCTTCGTCAAGACCCTGAATGAACACTTTGATGCTCTTCGTGTTCCTGGAGCAAGCAGACACCACTGGGCTATACTAGCATGCGACAGGGATGAATAGAGACATTACTGGCGTCTGCTAGAGCAAATCAATGAACAACGGGATGACAAGTGATACAAGCAATACAAATCCTTAGAAGTTAGTCCACATTTGCATCTAGAAAATCTTTTTGGTAATTTAGATACTTTTGTACTACTTGATACAAGGTAGTCTATGTGGGAGTACTATGTCTCTGTTTAGATTTTCTCCAACTGTAGAACTATGTTTTCTCTTTTGTAGAAGAATGGGATTTAGAAACCCAGATATGGACATTGGGTGTATCCTTAGTTCTGGGTGTCACTGCGTTTAGGCATCTTAGAGCTAATGATTACATGTACATTAATTACTTTTTATAACCTATGTTATGCACAGTATATAATTTATATAATAGTCTAATCATTTTTATACAAAAATTTCTTTTTATATTTAAAGTGCCTTCATTTATTTATATTTAAAATAAATTTACCAGTATACAATTTACATAATAGTCTAATGATTTTTATATAAAACTTCCTTTTTATATTTAATTTCTATAACCTTAATTTCTATATATTTAAAATAAATTTACAATTATCTCTAACTATATTTCAATACCGCAGGATTCATTTAGAAATAATTGTTCTTTCATTTTTCCCCCCTAGGACATAGACCATGCCTAGAAGTTTCTTTCCTTGTAGACATCAAAAGGCCCTTCTCCAAGAAGATGTAGACCAACAGAGCAGAATGCCTAACAGAAAGCCATACTTCACTATTCTTAATGATTGGAACTTCCATCTTGTAAATATTGTATTTTTTATTTTTTAGTGAAGTAAAGTAGCTTTACTTCAAAAAGCTTAGCGGAATATGAGAGAGAGAGAGAGAGAGAGAGAGAGAGAGAGAGAGAGAGAGAGAGAGAGAGAAAGAGAGAGAGAGGAAGAGAGTGACCAGTGTCCCAGAAAGAAAATGGATTTCTCTAGAGAGTAAATCACTGATAACGCACACAACAGATTGAGACTAAGGCAAATCGTCAAGACAGAGGATGTGCCATAAAGACAAAGATAAGAACTACACATAACAAATTCAGATGCAGGGGAATCGCCAAGGTAGACAATGAGTCCTCATGCAAAGTGGTTTTAGAGTAGGGTTTTCCCATACAGCCCCACCTGGTTGTCTGTTGCTGGGACATTGTCAAAGGAAAAACCTAGAATTATTGATGCTTTTATTCTCACCAGGACATTTAGATTCTCTTGAAACTTCTCCTTTTTTTGAGGGGTAGTGCTTCATTTTTCTCCAACACTGAAAAGCCCAGTATCTGCATCTTAAAGCGATGTCATCTTTTTGCCTTTAACCTACTTTCAGGTCTGGTAACTCGGTGATTTCTTCTTGGTTTAAGTATTTACCAAGAAAACTCAATATCAGTCCTCTCACCCCACCCATCCCACCTACCTGTAACAGCTCCCCAGCCAGATAATGCTATTGTTTTGATTCTGTTTATATCTTCTATAGTTTGTCTGTCTTTTCTTTCTTAATAGTGAAGTTAGTTATGTTTAATCTATAGAAATCCTACCCAAATTTAGATTGTAGTTTAAAAGAAAAGGGTTAGTACTACGGGAAAGTTCTAGTAGAAAGAACAGTACATAAGGCAAGCAAACACTTCTCTCTAAGTTTTTCAATTGGTTCATCAAGTTTCAGTCTAGAGTTTGCCCAAGTCTGGTTTAGAATTCTACAGCAGCTGAGTTTACCCAAACATGGTGTGTTTTGTTGCTTATTTCTTGTTTTATTTCATTTTAGACTGTGAACTCTTTTAAGGGCATAAAGCAGCTCTTATTCAGTTCTTATTCACCACAATTATAATGTTTGGCACATATGCACATATTTATTGAGTGAATGGAGAGATAAATGAAAGTGCAAAATGTTAAAATCTTGGGAACAGTAAATCTTACTTGATGATTCATGTAGAGATTAATTTCATGATGAATAATGATGAATAAATGAATTCATTCTGTTATACTTTGCTTTGGAGTTATTTTTTTAATAAAATGAGACGATTCCCTGCTGCTTCCAATGGACTCAAGATATAGATATATATATTATATATGTACCTGTATATAATATATATATATATATACTATTATGACATAATAACAGAGAGACTCTTTGCAAAAATCAGAAATTTCATTTCCAAATTAATCCAAGAAGTCTTTAGAATGACCACAGACATAGGCAAACAGCATCTGTGCCTGCTGGAATTCACTCACGGTGTGCAACTTCCATAAATTGGGCATTGAAAGACTAATTGCCTTTCCTCCTCTGATCCTGGTGGCCAAGTTCAACTCTTTCTCTCCTCCTTCCTTCAAATTCCATACAAAGAGAACCAGGGAAGGTAAAAAAATCAAGCGCTAATAACTTTAAAACAGAAACAACAATTTTGGGGCCAGGAAAAGTCCAAGGGTTCAGATGTTTTTCTTGAAGTTAATCCTGGTTTTATCCCTAGCAATAAATAGGACCCCTAAGACTACCAAAAGTGACCTCTGATCACCACCGGTATTTCCCTGCCAACTAATACCACTGTAGCACTGTAGTAGTGTCCTCCCGTTGTTCATCAGTTTGCTCAAGCAGGCACTAGTAACATCTCCATTGTGAGAATTGTTGCTACTGTTTTTGGCATATTGAATACACCATGGGGAGCTTGCCAGGCTCTGCCGTACGGGCACGATACTCTCGGTAGCCTGCTGGGCTTTCTAAAAGGGATGGAGGAATCGAACCCAGGTCTGCCGCGTGCAAGGCAAATGCCCTACCCGCTGTGCTATCGCGCCAGACCACAAACAAAACCACAAACTGACACCATTAAAACAACTAACATCACAAACAAAAATTAATAAAAACTATTGTTACTCCAACAACCTTATGACACCTAGACATACACCATGCTCTCAAGTGATTCACATTTATCTCCTTTCTGTTCTATGTAGTTGCAATCTTTTGGGGAGCCTCACTGCAGTCTAATCTATCCCTAATTCTTTGCCAGTAGCCCAGCTTCATGGTGCTGATTGTGCCATAATCTCAATTAACCAGTA